GCAAACAAGATTTGTTAATTTGCACACACAAAAAGTATTTTTCTTAAATTCCTTCAAGACCATGTTGCAAAAATGAATACACACCCCAATGAAAGCCTTAAGAACAAAGCTAAATTTTAGACAACAAAATCCTAATTTACAAAAATTCAACTACAGGTGTTCTTAATTATCCATTAAACAGGTGTCCAGCAGACAGTTTATTATGAAAGTGCGTTACTTAAAGAAGAAAACACCTTCTCATTTCATGTTGTCACAATGGCACCATATAGAAGAGAAATGTCACAAGGCCTGAGAAAGGAAATAATTTATTACATAAGAAAGCTGAAGGCTACAAGATCATCAGCAAAGCTTTACTTATCAGCCAAAATACTGTAGCAAAAGTGATACAAAAATTTAACAAAGATGGGACTGCAACCATCTCATAGAGACATCCAGGTGGTCCACGGAAGTTAACACCTCGACAGGAGCGTATTCTGATGAGAAGGGTTGAAGAAAATCACCATGCAAGTTCACTGCAATTAGCTAAAGAAGTAGAAAGCCAAACTGGGGTGATTGTTTCCCGTGACACAATATGACATACACTGCAGAAGAATGGCATGCATGAGTGTCGTCCACGAAGGAAGCCTCTCCTAAAGTCCATGCACAAAAAAGCCCGCCTAGAATTTGCCAGGGCCTATGCTGAAAAAGAAGACTACTGGGACTCTGTACTCTGGAGTGATGAGACCAAGATAAATGTTTTTGGAACTGATGGCTGCAAAACTGTACAGCATCTTAAAGGTTAAGAGTACAAAAAAAATGCATGGTGGTGAAACATGGTGGTGGGAGTGTCCTTCTGTGGGGCTGCATGAGTGCTGCTGGTGTCAGGGAGCTGCATTTCATTGATGGTATCATGAATTCACAGTAGTACTGCTCTATATTGAAAGAAAATATACTACCATCACTCCATGCCCTTGGTCATCGTGCACTTTTCCAACATGACAATGATCCAAAACACACATCTAAGGCCACAGTTGCATTTCTGAAGAACAGGGTGAAAATTATTCAGTGTCCAAGTATGTCTCCTGATCTGAACCCAATTGAACACCTATGGGGAATTATGAAGAGACAAGTTGAACATCACTCTCCATCCAGCATCCAGGCTCTAAAAGAAGTCATTCTTGAAGAATGGAAAAAAAGATGTTGCAATATGTCGCCAACTTGTTCATTCCATGCCTATGCTGTCCTTACAAATCATGGAAGTCATACAAAATACTAGATGTGGTAGTATTTGTTGTGGGGTGTATTCATTTTTGCATCAACTAATTTGAGTAAAACCGAAGATTTTGTAATCTAAGTTATATTTTTAACCTTGCTTTCATGTAATGAGCTAAAAACTCAGTTCTATAAAACTCAGTTTTGTCAAAATGTTGGAAATTGTTCTTGTGTTCATTGAGATATTGATTAAAATCCTACTTTTCAAAAGGGGGTGTAGTCATTTATGCTGAGCACTGTAAGTACCTGAAATAAATAACTAATAGAATGTGCAGGAGGGAGTGTGGCGTGTATAATGTCAGGTAGTATGTGAAGGAGAGGAGTGAGGAGTGTATGGTGGTGGGTAGTATGTATAGGAGAGGAGTGCGGAGTGTATGGTGGTGGGTAGTATGTATAGGAGAGGAGTGCCAGCCTCCAGACCCTAATCCAATTGAAAATCTGTGGAGGGAGCTGAAAGTTCGAGTTGCCAAATGTCAGCCACCAAACCTTAATGTGACTTGGAGAGGATCTGCCAAGAGGAGTGGGCCAAAATCCCTCCTGAGATGTGTGCAAACCTGGTGGCCAACTACAGGAAACGTCTGACCTCTGTGATTGTCAACAAGGGATTTGCCACTAAGTCATGTTTTGTTAAGGGGATCAAATACTTATTTCCCTCATGAACATGCAAATCAGTGCTTAATTTATTAGACATGCATTTCTTTTGAATTTTTTGTTGCTATTCTGTCTCTCAGTGTTACAATACACCTACCATTCGATTTTTAGACTGATCATTTCTTTGTGAGTGGGCAAACATTGAAAATCAGCAGGGGATCAAATACTTATTTCCTTCACTGTAACCTGCAGACACAATTGTTCAAAATAATTTTGGTGGTGGTGAGTCCACATGCTTCCACTGCTTTGATGCTCGTTTTGATTCCGGAGTGAAATGATGTTCCCAGGTTTCATCACGTATAATTATGCAATCCAGAAAATCCTGGCCTTCACTGTCAAAAGGTTCTTTCAATGCAGTGCCGACTTCAACACTTCTGTGCCGGTCAAGCAGAAAACTGTCCTCAAATCAAGCATGCACTAAATTTTCGAAAATGCAAATGTTTGTGAATGATTGTGTTCACTGTTCCCACACAAAAATGTGTCTCTTGTGCAATTTCACAACAGGTTATGCGTCTATTATCCAGGATCAGGTGTTCCACGTGCTAAAATGTTCACAGGAATGACTGCTGTGGGCTGGGAACCACCACGGTCGGAATCATCACTGATAGACATATGGTCATCTTTGAAATGTTTACACCATTCAAACGTCTTACAGCAGCTGAGCATCACCTCACCGTACTGTGCGTGCGTGAGGTCTTCTCTAGGTACCTGCGGGATTTATGAGTCCCCTCCAAGTAGACTGAAGATATTTAACAGAATCCAGAACTTTATGCCCCATCTAAACAACCTTTGCCATCACAGTGAGCATACACCTAAGGAGTCCTCAAGGACAAGGTTCCACCAGAAGGATGCACCGCAGCCCTGGACCTGTGAAGCATTCTGTTGCTAACACACAGGATAGACCAAGAGCATCTACGCATCTTCAGCAGAGTCCAGTGCTGGGAGGGCTCATTACAGGCCAGCCTTGTTTGTTCCTCACAGCAGGGTCCAGGTACAGCCTCCAAGGTTAAGCCAAAGATGAGCCAAAAAGCTACAAAAAGAGCTCCAGTGGCTCTGCAGCAACTGTAGAAACTTGCCAGAAGAAAAGTAGCTCGATAAAAAAAAAGAAAAAAAAAAAAAAAAAAAGTAGAAAAGCGGCTTGCTTCTCTCAGAAGAGATGACTACTGTTCTCCTAGGAGAGGTTACACTAGGTTGTCCTTGCAACTATGTTTTGTCCATGTCCAATTTCCTGAAGGCAGAAGCATAACCCTATGTACCTGAACTGCCATTCTGTGTCCCTTAATGTATGATTTTTAAAAAAGTTTATTGCACAAAACCACAGATGATTTTCTTGTTTTAAGCCACACAGTAAAACTGGTAATTGACATCTACCACAAATAAATGGCAGCCATCAGTTTTGCCTGATCATCGTTCTGCAATTCCTCCACACCTTACATCTTCCTACATCCCTTTTGGGAGGATCTATACCCAGCATTATACAGGCCTATTGTTCCCATCACATTTTCCCTATTTGCCTGATGATACATAAAACAAACCTAACCAATTCCGCACCACCCTATAGCAGAAATACTGCTATAGGGCGGCACGGGTGCGCAAAATAACATATATATGTGATTTTGCAGTTCCAGGTAGGGGGCTCGTGCGAGCTGCGTGTGCCCTACCCGTACCGTCATTCGTGGCCATGGCTGTCAATTAGCGGTCCTGGCTGGTGATTACTCACCAGCACCGCCAGTGATGGCTGACTACCTCCAATGGGGGAGAGACCTGTATGTAAACAATATAGATATTTCCGCGGTCAGCTCCTGCACACTGCTTTGTATGGCTCTGTATAGCAGAGCCATACCAAGCAGCATGCTTACAGTGAAGCACGCACACAGCCCAGTGAAACAGCACACAGTTAACCCTTTGATTGCCCCAGATGTTAACCCCTTCATGCCCAGTGACATTATTACAGTGTCAGTGCTTTTTATCAGCACTGATCACTGTATTGGTGTCACTGGGGATGTCAGTGACACCAAGTCAGTCCCCCCCATTGTCAGTGTCCCTGATCGTCGCGATTACGTGTAGAAGAAAAAAAAATTCCAGTATATATACCACCATTTGTAGATGCTATAACTTTCACGTAAACCAATTAATTTACACGTATTGGGATTTTTATTTCAGTAAAGACATGTAGCAGAATACGTTTTGGCCTAAATTTATGACGAAATTTGATTTTTTACATTTTTTTTACTGGACATATTTAATAGCAAATAGTCAAAAATATTGTTTTTTTCTCAAAATTGTCGGTCTTTTTTTATTTATAGCACAAAAAATAAAAAATGCACAGGTGATCAAATACCACCAAAAGAAATCTATTTGTGGGAAAAAGGACGTAAATTTCATTTGGGTGCAGCGTTGCATGACCGCGCAATTGTCAGTTAAAGTAAAGCAGGGCCATATCGCAAAAAAATGGCCTAGTCAGGAAAGGGGGTAAATCCTCTGGAGGGCAAGTGGCTAACAGACCACAAACACATTAATAACAGATCAGATACTCAAAATTTCCAAAAGGCCTTAGTGCTCTATTATAGAATGGCCATGTGTCTCAAAAACACATTAGACAAATATGACAACAGACACAACAAAGAAATCCTTTCTATAAAAAACACTTTACTGGTCATTAAAAATTTCAGAAAAAAAATAATTTAAACATTTTTATTTGTTTCTGCAATAACTTTCTATATTCACGGTAGGCCAATGTTTTTTACATACAGACAAATATACAGGGAATGTTGAAATCTCTTCCAATGGCTGTTAGTGAAACTGAAAGCCAACATAGCAACACTTTTACGGTTATTACCTGGAGCGACACGCGCTGCCCTGATCAACACTATACAAGAACCCATTAACATGCTCCAGGCATGATGGAAGGATTGGACTCTGCCTTCTGCTGCTACAACAGTGAACGGCAACATGACCATAAAGCGCAGTATTACAATACACACAAAGACTAGAGAGAAAATTTATACAATCAAAACCTCTGAGAAGGTCAAATTGGCAAAATGAATTACAACAAGACTGCAAAGTTTCCAGATAATATTAATTCTTCTAGAAAATCTTCAGTGATTGTTTCCTTCATCAAATGACTCTACACCAGAATCGCTGGCAGCAGCATTAATCCTTTCTTGGCGTTTTTTCATGATTTCCTGCAGTTCAGAGCTCCATTGATTTCCTTAAGGACACAAAAGAGTAGAAAGTGTCAATACGACATTAATATTAGCCCATTATATGTATTAAATAGGTAAACAACTGGAAAAGCCAAATTTCAAGCCTGGCACAGATTAGCTGGATTTTTGTGAACAGTGTCAGGGCTGATGGTGGAGCGATAGAGAGCAATGATTATCTTCAGCTCCAAATGCAAGTTCATAAAAGTGTAATTTCCAGTCTCACTGCACTCTGACATTTACTGGAACCCACAGTAGGCAAATTCATCCATGAAAGGTGGGATATTGAGGGCACATATATATATGTGATAGAGAGTTACAATGTACCACTGAAAACAGCTGGTGGGCAGACTTTATAGCCAAGAAAACCAAAATTGGCACTTACCAGTATATAGCAAAAGCGTGCAATGGCAGGGTAGAGTAAGAGGGCAATTCTCGAAAGCCTCAGTATACAGAATATACTTTTTTGGTAGTTTTCATTAACAAGTAACATTTTCATAGACTGCACAGAATAGATACCTCTAGAGTAGCTTTCTGAAGTGTCACCTGGTTGTAAACCCTTGGTCCCTCTGGACAGACTGTCTTTAATTCATCCTTGGTGAGGGAAAAAAGCTGAGCGCCAGTTAGCACACCAAGACTAGTGACAGTCCTGGAAGAAAACAGCAAAACAGACTGTTATTGGCCAAAAGGAGTGACTAGTGAGAGAAGAGGAGGGAAAATTGAGGCACTATGGGGGAAAGAAGAAAAGAAATGGAGCATCTACAAGAAAAGAAGGAATGGAGGCACAATGGGGAGAGGAGAAGAAAGTGGAGGAATGGAGGCACTATAGAAAAAGGAGAAGGAGGAGGATGGTAAACTACAGAAAGAGAAGGAGGAAGAATGTAGGCACTATGGCAAGAGAAGGAGGACTATAGGGAGAGGAAGAGAAGGAAAAGAAATAGAGGCACTGAGAGAAGAGAAAGAGAAGGAGGAGGAATGGAGAACAATAAGAAAAGGAGAAGGAGTAACACAGGCACAGTGGAAAGAATAATAGCATTAATTTAGACACTATGGGAAGAGGAAGAAAAGGAGGTCAAAAGGATGAGAAATGGAGTAAGTATGAAGGGGAGGAGAAGAAATGGGGGTGATAAGAAACGTATATGGAGGAGAGGGATGTAGACACTATGTGAAGAAGAGAATGAGAAAGAATGTATGCACTATGGAAAGTGAAGGAGGAGAAAGACCGAAAATACTATGGCAAGAAAAGAAACGGGATGAAAGCAGAACTATGGAAAGAGGAGAAGAATTGAAAACACTATGAAGAGAAGTATACTAGGGTGGCATAGGGAACTATGGTAAGAAAAGTTGATAAGGGCATGAAGAACTATGGAAAGGGGAAAAGAAATCGATACTCTATGGTAGAGGAGAAGGAACGGAAGAAGGAACATAGGAACTATGAGAAGAGGAAGTGGATGTGTAACACTACAAAATACTCCCACAAATGCGGGCCATTGATTGCAAACAAGATTTGTTAATTTGCACACACAAAGTATTTTTCCTATCAAAATTCTTTCAAGACCATGTTGCAAAAATGAATACAACCCAATGAAAGTCTTAGGAGCAAAGCTAAAATTTTAGACAACAAAATCCTAATTAACAAGAGTTCAACTACAGGTGAGTCTAAGAAGACAGGCAGGGGCGGACTGACAACTCATGGGGCAATAGGGGATATGGGATCATGGGGCCCCTGTGTCCTTGCCCAAACTCAAAAAAGCCTATGAAATAGGTACCAGGGGCATCTCATGGGGCCCCCTACTGACGCCGGGCCCTCGGGCAGTGCCCGAGTTTCCATATGGTCAGTCCACCCCTGAAGACAGGTGATTATAAAAGGGCGGTACTTAAAGAAACCCCTTCCCATTTCATGCTGTCAGAAATGGCACCGCATGGAAGAGACATGCCACAAGGCCTGAGAAAGAAAATTTCTTTACACTTTAAGAAAGGTGAAGGCTACAAGAAGATCAGCAAAGCTTTACTTATCAGTCAGAATACTGTAGCAAAAGTGATGCAAAAATTTAACAAAGAAGGAACAGCAAACATCTCACAGAGATGTCCAGGCTGTCCATGGAAGCTAACACCTTGGGAGTGTCTTCTGATGAGAAGAGTTGAAGAAAATGCAAGTTCATTGCAGTTAGCTAAAGAAGTAGAAAGCCAAACTGGGATGACCGTTTCCCGTGACAAAATATGGCATGCACTGCAGAGGAATGGCATGCATGGGTGTCATCCATGAAGGAAGTCTCTCCTAAAGCCCATGCACAAAAAAGTCCTCTTAGAACTTGCCAAGTCCAATTTTGAAAAGAAGACTACTGGGACTCTGTACTTTGGAGTGATGAGACCAGGATAAATGTTTTGGAACTGATGGCTTCAAAACTGAGGTGAGGAGTACAAAGAAAATTGCATGATGTCTAAAGGGAAACATGGTGGTGACAGTTTCCTTCTGTGGGACTGAATGAGTGCTGCTAGTGTCGGGGAGCTGCATTTCATTGATGGTATCATGAATTCACAGATGTACTGCCCTATATTGGAAGAGAAGATACTACCATGACTCAGTACCCTTGGTCAGCGTGCACTTTTCCAACATGACAATGATCCAAAACACACATCTAAGGCCACTGTTGCATTTCTGAAGAACAGGGTGAACGTGATTCAGTGACCAAGTATGTCTCCTGACCTGAACCCAATCGAACACTATGGGGAATTCTGAAGAGACAAGTTGAGCATCACTCTCCATCCCGCATCCAGGCTCTAAAAGAGGTCGTTCTTGAAGAATGGAAAAAGATAGATGTTGCAATATGTCGCCAACTTGTTCATTCCATCCCTAGAATACTTGATGCTGTCCTTAGAAATCATGGAGGTCATACAAAATATTAGATGTAGTAGATTTTGTTGTGGGGTGTATTCATTTTTGCATCAACTAATTTGAGTCAAACTGAAGATTTTGTAATCCAAGTTATATTATTAACCTTACTTTCATGTAATGAGCTAAACAAATATTATTATTATTATAATACAGGATTTATATAGCGCCAACAGTTTGCTCAGCACTTTACAATATAAAAGGGAGACAATACAGCAACAATACAAAAGGGTTGGGAGGGCCCTGCTCCTTGGAGCTTACAATCTAAGAGGGAGGGATTGGTGGTGCAAAAAGGTAATAACTGTGGAGGATGGACTGGTAGGAGTAATAGAAGATTCCGTTATGAGCTGAAGGCAGAATAGGCTTCCCTAAAGAGATAGGTTTTCAGAGATTGCCTAAAAGTGGGCAGAGTAGGTGATAGTCTGATAGATTGGGGTAGAGAGTTCCAGTGGATGGAAGAGGCTCTAGCGAAGTCCTGGAGATGAGCATGGGAGGAGGAGACAAGTGAGCTAGAGAGCAGGAGGTCATGTGAGGAGCAGAGAGGACGGTTTGGGTGATATTTGTAGACAAGATTGGTGATGTAATTGGTGGCAGAGTTATAAATGGCTTTATATGTTATTGTTAATGTTTTGAATTTTATGCATTGGGCAATGGGAAGCCAGTGGAGGGGTTGGCAGAGAGGGATGGCAGATATGGAATGGTTAGTAAGGTGGAGGAGTCTGGCAGCAGCATTCATGATAGACTGAAGAGAGGATAGCCTGCGATGAGGTAGGCCAATGAGGAGGGAGTTACAATAGTCAAGGCGAGATATAACAAGGGAGTGAATAAGTTGCTTAGTGGTTTCCAAGGTTAAGAACAGGCGTATCTTGGAGATGTTGCGGAGGTGAAGTCTACAAGATTTGAACAGTGATTGGATTTGGAGCTGAAAGGACAGATGGGAGTCCAGGATTACACCTAGTACGTTGGCATGAGGGGAGAAACTGATGGTTGTATTATTGATCTTGATGGAGAAGTCAGGGGATGGGGAACAGGCTGGAGGGAATAGTAGGAACTCAGTTTTCGAAAAGATTGAGTTTAACCCCTAGACGCCGAGCACACGCAACTATGCGGCCTCTCAGCATCTGGGCCTTGACGCCGAGCGGCTGCACATTTGCGTGCCATTAGAAAATACATATGTGCTGAGAGCACACGCCCTGCACATATGTCTGTGACTCACGGAAAGGTCCCGATCTCCCCTTGTGATTGGGACCTTTCCCGATCATGTGACTGCTGTGAAAGCAAATCACGACGGTCACATGACCCTAAAACCCCGCCTGCCTCCCAGCTTCTGAAACTCTTAAAGGGCCGGGAGGCGCCGACACAAAAGGGGTTAAGGAAGTGGAGTGACATACATGCCAATATGACACTTAGTAGGTTAGTAATGCGATAGGAGACTGAAGGGGGTGAGGTGAGGGGTAGAAAGATAGATTTGTGTGTCATCAGCATAGAGAAGGTACTTAAAGCCATGGGAGTTTATAAAGTGACCAAGGGAGGAGGTGTAGAGAAGGGGTCAAAGGACAGAACCTTGAGGGACCCCAACAGAAAGAGGAAGTGGAGAGGAGGAGACAAAGGTTATAGTTAATGCTAAAGGAGCGCTGCGATACGTAGGAGGAGAACCAGGAGAGAGCAGAGTCTCGGAGGCCAAGAGAGTGGAGTTTTTTGAGGAGGAGGGGATGGTCAACAGTATCAAAAGCCGCAGAGAGGTCAAGTAGTAAGAGTACGGAGTAGTGGCCATTGGTTTTAGCAGTTAGTAAATCATTAGTGAGTTGTAGTAGGGCAGTTTCAGTGGAGTGTAGTGAGCGAAAACCAGACTGTAAAGGGTCAAGAAGGTTGTTTTCAGTGAGGTAGGAACTCAGGCGATTGTAGACTAAGCGTTCTAAGAGTTTAGAGGTAAACAGAAACAGGGAGATGGGTCTTAAGTTGTTCAGGTTGGTGGGGTCCAGGGAGAGCTTTTGGGTAGAAGTGGAGGGACTGAGGCAGTGTGGCAATAGGAGGAGGAATGCAGGCACAGAATGAAAGGAATTATAGGAAAAGAAAAAAAAGACCGAATAGAGTTAGTTAAACTGTGAAAAGTGAAAAAACAAAAAGGCATTGCTACACAGGATGGTAAAAATGTTGCAGAAGGTGGGTATGCAGAACAGGACAACATAGTACAAGTGATGAATAGGGACAAAAAAGGTGGAAAGGCAGCATGATGTGTATGATAACATGCCAAGGTGATATGATGCACATTCTTGGGACAGGTTACAGTTACACAATGTGACAAATGTAGAACAGAAGCTTTAGGTTAGTGGCAGAAATATGGTGCATGTTAAGCCTTTTGTACAAACTGTAAGTAGCATCTGTCAATTTACACAGAACTGAATCCCTTTGCTTGCAGCCATGATTTCACATCTTCTGTGGATGAACTGTATGAAATGTTGACCGCCGTCGTGTTTTGGCGTGGTACAGCGAATTTCTTCTGGGCTGCGCTGCGTCCAATAGTGAGTCTCTGCACCAATTCATCCTGAACCTCCTCCATCTGAGACTTCCTGCCTAGAATATAATTTCCACCAATGAAATTTACATCTCTGTTCTGGATTCTAGAATGTCACTAACAATTCTAAAACGGTTTATTACGGTTTTTCAAAACCTCTGCTGAATCTTTACATAAGTGCATAAAAACTAAAGCAAAACATGGGAAAATCTTCATTGTGTCATATAAAAAAAAAACAGTGGTCTCTATTACTTACGATCAATGGGTCTGTCCCTCCGGTGGTCTCGCACACTGCTGCCCCCACTATCGCTGGATGTGCTGCTCTGGCGACTGATCAGACTTCCAGATGGACAGGACTTGGATGTCGGGATAGAGAGAGGGGAGGGAATAGGGTGTGGAGGTGGGGTGGGAGCTGACAAGACTGGGTCTCCTTGCTTTTGGACATTCTCTGACTTCTGTTTCTAGAAAGACAGAAAAAGATTAAAAATAATGATTCCGACCCATTCAAATAGGAAGAATATTCAAGAATTATTCTCTATACTACCTAAGCAGGAATAAAAATCAGCAGGCACATAGGGCTTGTGGAGAGGAATTGTAGAACTAGGATTGAAAATAAATAATGCTCTCTAGTCATCATATTCTATAAAACGTTTGTAAATAACGTTACATGATCGATTTAAGAAGCCAATTTCCATTTTGGTGGAAAGATAAAACAGGCAGGCCTGGACCACAGTCAGGAACCAGACAGTTCTGATGCTGTCACCTTTCTCAATTTTGGATTTTTATAAATATACAGAAATCACATAAGGTGGAAACAAGAGAAAAATCCTTTTGCAAAACTTTTTTTAAGCTGAGCTTAAAGGAGAAGTACAGCCAAAGCTCGTGTACTTCTACTGTGGGTCAAGGGAGTGCAGTTTGTTCTGCACTCCTGTGACCTGTTTTCAGCTGACAGCAGGCTAAAGTATCACACAGCCGATCAAGACTAGAGAAAGATACAGCCCATATGGTCAGGATCCACCAAGGAGTCTGGACCAGAATCTGACTCAGTCTCTCAATGAGAGGCTAAGCCAGCTGCTCCCTCCCCCTCCACAGCCTAGCACTGCAGTAAGCACTGTGGGGGGCAGAGCAGACAGTGGTAACTGACAGTAACTACTCTCTGCTCAGAACGGCAGGGAGAACTGAGCTATTCAGCGGTATTTGATCTCTCAGTTCCCAGCCTTAGAACTGGCAGGGAACAGATGCAGCATCAGAGCGCTAGGGAAGGAGTGATAGCTGTAATCTCTGTAAAACTTTTAGCTGTAAATAAAAGAGATAAGTCCACGAGGTGGCATGTAACTTGTTGGACTTAACCCACTGTAAGCCAGCACAGTTTAGAAAGTGTCTGAATTGCTGCAGTTAAGCTTTAAGTATCCCCTAGAGAACAAAGACTAGAACAGAGTTAGGGAGAGAAGAAAACAAAAACAGATATTCTATAGACAGTAGAATAACCCAGTAGAGAAGAACACCCACAGACCAACAGTCTATTCTACAAAAAAACAAGAAATAGGCAACTTTTATGGATTTACCTAATCTAAAACAGAACTGAGAAAAAGCCTTGCACCCTGCTTCATGAACATAGGAGATTATCATTTACAGCAGACATCACTAAATGGCAGACATGGTCTGGATCCGGACCGGGTTACTGTCCCATCCGGACCAGCCGCAGTCCCACCATTTACTGATGACTGCAGTTATCCTCATCCAGCTGACATTGGAGGCAGGGCAGCTCTAGATGGATGGCAGGAGGTACAATAGTATACAGCTGACATTGGAGGCAGGACAGCTCTGGATGGATGGCGGGAGGCACATCAGTCTAGAGCAAACATTGGCGGCAGGACAGCTTCGGATGGATGGCAGGAGGCACATCAGTCTAGAGTGGACATTGGAGGCTCCGGATGGATGGCGGGACCTGACAACCAATCACCCGCTAGTTACCAGGAAAAGTTGTGCAACTCCCAACGTCCATCTGGAGCTGTCCTGCCTCTAATGTCCGCTCAAGACTGATGTGCTTCCCACTGCCCTTCTGCAGGTGTCCTGCCTCCAATGTCAGCTGTATAGTGATGTGCCTCCCATCTTCTGCCCTTTGTAGGTAGGAGATGAAAGGGAACTACAGTCATTGCTGTGAATGATTTGGGGGAAGCCAAGGATGATGTGAAAGGGGGTAGAGGATAGGAATCTGGAGGAGGAGGGGGGTTGTATACAGGGGAGGAGCTGAAGACCAGAATGGCGGGGTGAGGACAGGAATTTAAAGGAGGAGGCTGACATAAAGGGGGGCAGAGGACAGAAATCTGAAAGAAGAGATGGGGGGGGTGATACAAAGATACAAAGGGAGTGTGGGGGGGGGGGGGGTGAAGACAGGGATGTGAAGGGGGTGATATGAAGTTGGCTGAAGACAGTAATGTGAAGGAGGAGGGGGGGGTGATATAAAAGCGTCAGAGGACAGCAATGTGAAGGTGAGGTGATATTAATGGGGGGAGTGATGAGAAGGGGGGGTTTGAAGACACTGCTGTGCAGGGGGGACTGTGATGTAAAGGGGTTATCTTGATGCAAAGGGGACAGGACTGTGATGTAAAGGGGTAGGGGGGGTTGTGGTGTTCCTGGTAGGGGCCTGAGAACACGGTTGTAACAACAGGATTGTGACTTGAAGGATTTGAGGCTAGGTTTACATCATTGTTACCCATGTTCTGCGTGTAGGCAGCCTATTCATTTCAATGGGCTGTCTTGCATGCAGAAACGCAAGAAAAGAAGTCTCTGACCCTTTTTTTAAATGCTGCACATGCTGCATTTGCCGATGTTCCAAGGTGCCATTCAGAATCAAACATGCAATTCGGACCTCAGCTGGAAGAAAATGTTAGTGACTGGACCTCCGTGAATTTTAATTCAATACCCCTGATTCACAGGATAATATTAAGTCTGTATTAGCCTTGATAGGTTTTCTTGACTTTTCACATGGGTGTCTCAAATTGCCTCTCCTAACAATATACATTTATCCACACATGATACTGGAATTTTTTGTTACTCACTGTAAAATTCTTTACTTCGAGTTCATTGAGGGACACAGGTCTTCTGATTCTCAACCATAGGGTTATAGCGCCGCCTATGGACGAGAATCAGAAGAGCTGTGTCTGTAAATGAATGTAAGAGAAAACAGGATTTTTTTGTTACTCATCATAAAATCCCTTTCTTCAAATTCACTGATGAACACAGGTCTTCTGATTCTCGACCATAGGTGACACTATAACCCTATGGTCGAGAAACAGAAAAACTGTGTTCATCAATGAACGTAAGAGAAACGTTTTTTATCCTACTATTCACAGCAAAAGTGATGACTAGAAAGGGAGGGGGACTAGTAGACTAGAAGCACAGTCAGAGGAAGAAGTCTCACACTATAGAGTGTCTGTGGATCAGAGGGTGACAAAGTAAAGGGACATTATTCAGACATGCGTTACCTCTGACAGCTCTCCCAGCAATTGCTGTTGTAAAAAGACACATAATGGCACATTATATTCTTACTTACTTTTTTACATTATATTCATACTTAATTTACATCACATGGCATACACAGCAATCACTACAAGGTCTTTCAGCTTGTGTTTCTTAGGCCACAGCTCATTCCCACCACACAGTTCCTGGGCACTCTTCCATGTTGGTGATCCACACTCACACCAGATGCCTTCTTCTGACACACATTAAAGAAGTTCAAGCTGCATTTCTGATCTGCTAACTGCAAATTTTCCTTTGAATGAAATCCTTTAAAGTGCCTCTAAAACGCACGTAAATTAAGACACATTAAAAATGTGTATGTGGCAAATGTACTCATACTAGTTGGTTTTGGCTGCCTCAGCCCAAGGATATTTCATGAGATTTAACACTGCAGGACATTAAAGGGATTTCTGATCTAAAACAATTAACAACAGGAATTATTTAATAAATTGTGAAGAAGACAAACTGATTAGAAATGGAGTATCCCATAAAAGGATAATCTTTACTTCACACTAGGCACTAGAAGTGATCTTTGAGTACTTTAGATCACCATTAAAATTTAGAGGCAATGGCTCAATGATGTCTACAGTTTCATTATTGGATTAACAACTCAGAAATGGACATGCAGGGAAAATCCTGCCTGTGCTTGTTGATCTGCTGGTTTGGTGCAGCAAGATGACTAAAGTGTGCAGCTGATGATCCAGCAGATGGAGGTGGAATATCAGTAGGTGATATACTACAATTTACCATTAACAGGAATACCTCATTATTTCTGCTGATCATCACAGTTTGGCTTGCATGTTGTAAGAAAATAGAACAACCTCAAACCCACAAAACGGATTTACAAAGAGAGTGGAAGGGACAGCAGATCCGACAAACCATGCTGAGACCCACCTTGAAGATTTCAAACTCCTTCTTTGGCATCAAAAGCTTTTGATGGAGCATGTCAATACACAAATAATTGTATAAAATGCAAAGTTACTACTTGTTATATCCAATCCAGAACTGTGCTTTGTGATCTACTGTCTAAGAGCAATCTACCAGGATCCAGTGCACTCCTCTGATCTGCTATGTAAAGCAATCCAAAGCATTGCTATATGATCTACTACAAAGGAACAGTACACAAAGACCTACTACAGGTGGGGAATACTACCCAGTCTGTGATCCAGTGCACAATTTACGAGATTCAGTGATTTTCTATTTACAAAGATCCTGTACTGGCTGGCTGCTATCAGTGTGCAGCTAGCTGGGGAAGGATAAAAGACAACAGGGCGGGAAGGGAGACGTTACAGGGAGAAGACTTGATGGCATAATCCGCATAAATGCTGCCACCATTATAACTAAATTCATGGAATGTAACGATATGATGTACAAAATACAACAGTTAACACGTTTTATGGAGAGTGACAGTTCTTTACCTGGATAGTTTGGCTGTAGACTGGATCTGAACGGGCCAATGACGACTCTTCAGCCTTCACCATTCCCAGGATGTTGTTTGGCACAAAACCAGAAGAACCACTGGAACTACGGACCTTCCACCATTGCTTCTTATCATCAATGATCTTCAAAAGACAGAGCCCAGGAGTAGAGTAACTGCCGAGACAGAGAGAGCACGAGCAACTGCCGAGACAGAGAGGGAGAGCACATGCAACTGCACAGAGAGAAGGCATAAGACAGTATAGAGAGAGAGAGAGAGAGACAGACAGAAACTGCAGAGAGAGAAAACAAGCAGCCACAGGAAGGATTTAAATTTTAACACAAAACTAAAAATTCTACAAATAACTAGCCTCCAACTTGTTCTATTCTCTCACCCATCGTCTACCCTGCCCAATTTATCTCCACAAATAAAATATCCCATCCAGCTTTCTGTCCTGCATAGCCTATATCCACAGATAAATGATCCCATACAGTTTTCTGTCCTGCCAAGTTTTTACCTCCACAATGTCATCTTTCATCACGGAGAGCTCGTTTAGGTTCCTGGCTACAAAGTCATACTTGCATACGGCATATTTTGGGGTATTTGCCTCCTGATTTCTGTGTGGGTAGAAAATTATGGTGTAAATTGTATAATCAGCTCAAGTAGCAGTGAGGTGGAAGTTAGAGTGGTACAAACACATCCATAAATACATAGTAGAGGAAATAACTAAGTGTCAGGCTAACTACATGCTGCCAGCCTGAGAATTGTCACTCTTCTGTTACACCATCAATATTGCAGAAGATTCAGATTTCCCTCTATGCAGCAAGCAGAGTGAGACACTATGACTAGATAAGAACAGTCCCCAGTATAGAGACCTCTCTCATGAATAATGTGTCACACCGGTGGGTAACAAAGCATGACAATATCCATTCATAACCAAAAGTCAGTTTTGGGGGCAGTTTGGCCTCTAATATACATAGACATACTTACCGGAGCTCTATACTGTTTTCAGCCAGTTTATCTTGCCTGTGATATCACAAGAGGGAGAACAGTGGGGGAATTCTGTGTCATGTCTGCATCAATGTGAGTTATGAATAGCCACTACATTATTACACCTTCACTGGCCCATATGCCCCACTATGGTGGGCTTCCACATCTATATCCACAACAGTGCCACAAGGCATCAGTCAGTATCTTCTGTGAGGTATGTCCAAACCCCACCCAGGGCTCAAGACAACATATACCCAGAGGGTTCAGGGTCATTCCTCTGCATTCTGCTATTGGTGGCTAGGGGATCTCTTACAAATACAACATTGACAGCTCACCCATAAAATGGTTTCCGTGCTCCCAAGGCACATATCCACATATCTGGTCTTCTTACAAGTAGTACACCCCACCCAGGGCCCAAGACAACACATACCCAGAGGGTGGAGGGTCATTCCTCTGCATTCTGCTATTGGTGGCTAGGGTAAATCTCTTACAAATACACCATTGACATCTCGCCCATAAAATGGTTTCTGTGCTCCCAGGGCACATATCTGGTCTTCTTACAAGTAGTACACCCCACCCAGGGCTGAAGACAACACATACCCAGAGGGTGGAGGGTCATTCCTCTGCATCCTGCTATTGGTGGCTAGGGGATCTCTCACAAATACAACATTGACAGCTCACCCATAAAATGGTTTCCGTGCTCCCAGGGCACATATCTGGTCTTCTTACAAGTAGTACATAAATACCATACTGTTCCTGTATGCCAGATGTGTTCCTAAAAGTACCCAGTGGTGTATTTAGGTTTTGTGCTGCCCTAGGCAACACAAAAATTGGCGCCCCCCCCCCCCCCCCCCCCCCGCAGAAAGAGCCAGACATTGACCAAGAGCACCCCCCTGCCCTCCACCCGAGCCTTCCACTACCTCTTCCCCCCATACACCAGCCGCCATCCCCCATGGCGAGAGAGAGAAAGACACTCACCTTCACAGCTCCAGACATCCCCAGGAAAGAGAGTCGGGCTGTGCATCATGTAAATATATCATGAAGCATCATGAAACCCACAGCATCTCTCGGAACCCACCAGGTCCCCATCCTGCGTGTGTCCCTTCTGCCATCCCTTCTTCCAAGGGGCAGTGCTGCCGCCCTAGGCAAATGCCTCATTTGCCTTGTGGTAAATACACCCCTGAAAGTACCTTTTATTGGACATGAATACATCAAATACATACATTGCTTACCTGCTTCAGACTACAGCCCTCAGTGACAACTGCTACCTTGCACCGTGAAACTCTCATATACAGACCAAGTAAAACGCCATCAGGAAATGGGTCAACAGATCCCCAAGACAGACCTAAACCCAATGGGGTTGACTTACTAAAACACAAATAGACTGTGCACTTTCCGAGTGCATTTGCTCCAGAGTTTAGTAAATGAGGTGAAGCTTCACTTTGCAAAGAATACCCAATCACATGCAAGGTAAAAAAAAAAAAAAAAAATAGTGTTTTTGCTTGCAAATGATTGGAAGATGGAAGTCCGCAGAGCTTCCTTTCATGTATTATGCTCTGGAGCAATTGCATTTGCAGATTGCATCTGTTCCTACAAGGTACAGTATCCTTGCCTTTAGTAAATCAACCCCAAGGTGTAGGGATTTGGGTAAAATCAAGGTTATGTTGTATTGTTTCTACAGGAATCCTTACACAATCAGTGTAAGATACGAGATACGAGAGATCCATTTTAAAAAGTAACACCAAGGGTTCGTGTAATGGGCCCTTTATCTAAAGCCTTAAAATATATATTAAGTAATCTCCTGGAGCGCTGGATTATTGCAGTACTTCCTTCACAAAAAAAAACAAAATACATCATTTATGTCCAGTATGCATGAAAAGTGCAAACTGCCATTTTACATACAGATAGTGGGAACTCTATTGTGGACACCACTGAAGTCTCATAAACAACATGTGCCTTGTGGAACGCATCTAGTTATGGAGTCTCAAAGCCAAAATATTCAGTGACCAAGCCCACTCATAACCTTATTCTTATAAATATTCATTGCTCACAGTGGAAACCTCTTGTATTGTCCATGTCACCTTTGCCATTCAGCACAAAGTTAGTGGTCAGCATGTCAATAAAGCTCATTAAAGCGGAACTTCACTCTCTCAATCAACATGGACTGTTTTTAATCCTTATGCTGCTAGCATTAGTAAATAGATAGAAGAGTATATTATATTTACAGTATATTATATTTACTTGCTGTAATTTGTTTCTTTACATTTCAAGCTACTTCCTGGTTTCCAGGCCTAGGCGAATGAGGTCATACATCTCAGGTATCTTCAGGTGGGGTTGTCTCAGCAAAGCACAGCCTCCTTCCTGGATGCTTGAACTAAGGGCAGATGGATTCCAGGAAGTACAGGCTAAATGTCCCTTACTTAAAGATGGCCATGGCCAGAAATGCAAGGAGGTGTTTTTCAAAGTGATTTCTCAGCAAAATAAAGCATGGAGACATGGATGAATGCGTGTTTTCTTGAATATAGCATTTTTGGTTTGTGATGCTCAGATGCAGTGTAGTTCCACTTCAAGGTTAGGTTAGTGAAGCGTGGGCTGCTGCGTGCCTGCCTGCATATAATGTGTATATCGTAGTGTATAAAACTTCAACAATGGGACATTTTCACAAACATGACTTACAAGATTGCCATCCACCTGGTGACTTACTAAAGGGACTTACAAATTCCACCGGGCGACCCCATTAACTGCCTTTCTTTAATGTACCACAGCTAGAATAACAGAAGATTATGTGCTGCTATCACAGCGATGGCGGTTGCCCTTTATTCCTTGTCAATTTTTGTGACTCTGGCATCGAAATGGGGTGTTTCTCTTGTAGGGATGGCAATGAAGTTAAATAAGATCTTGGAATGAGAAAAAGTGACTGGCTGGTTATGAAGCATTACAGCGTGTGTTAATAAAAAGCCCAAGAAAGCCAATATCTGAAAATACTTTTATTGTAAATAATGTGGCATATTTATAATATATTATATATATATATATATGTATATAAAAAGATCTTTATAGACGTATTGATTTGGATTGATTTTTGCATTTTTTTCATTATTAAAATATACATATGTTAGAGGCAATTACAGCCAGAGATCAGAGTCCTTGTCATAAGCCACATGCTTCACGCAAACAAAGAGTCATGCGGTTAGTCAAGTGATCTATGAGAAGGGAAGTCACACTGATTGGTCAGGAATGATTGCCTGTATAGCAGAGTATAGGAAGCAGTAACAATTTCCCTCAAGAGCTGTCTAAGCACAAAGTGAAGCATTATTAGTATGATGATTGAGAAGGAAAGGCTCAGTTAATTATAAATTTGTATGTACAAAGGTGGGCAGGATTGGGAAGAGACATGCAGAATTAAATCGTGTTAGACAGCGTCAATTTGAACGCCGCAACATCGGCAGTTAATGACAGTTGTGGGGTTAACCCGTCTCCAATATGATGTTTGGTCTTCCAGAGGTGACAAGGTACAGCTATGTCGCATATTCCAGCAGGGTGGGGGAGGAGGCCAAGTTAGGAATTATAGAAATAAAAATTCCTGTGACAAGGAGAGAAGTAGACCAGTCAGTAGAAGAAGAAAAAAAAAATAAAAAAACATTTCCTGGCTTGGGCCAAAGTTCAGTGAGAACATGAAAGTGCCTTTTGAAATTGTGAGGGAATCATTAACCTGGACAAACTGCTATTAGGTTACGTTTACACTTGCGGCAGACCTCAATACCCCTATGAAAAGCAATCTTTTCACTTTTCAGAGTTCTTTGACAGGCAGCTGGAAGGCGATATGTCACCACCCCACTGCCTGTTTTAACCCTCAAAAGCCCGCACCACGTACATTACACCGATTTGCAGCAAACCTCCCTTCACCTGAATGGGCTGTGTTCAGTAGCGGTACTGCCTACTGAACTCAAAAGGGGTATAAAATCTTGATGAGTTTACAAACTAAGGTATTGCTCACCAATAAAATGTGGACAATCCCTTCCGCCCTGTCTTTGCAGCTTAAGGGGGCAGTCAGGGTGGTTAAACCGCAGCTCAACTACACATTTTTCCTGCCCTCAACTGTAAGTGTAACTAAGCCCTTATTGTTACAATAAATGATGTAGGCAAGGCTACTAATGTCTGCTTCCTGTCAGTAAGGCTGGTGATAGATTAGTAAATGACTCAAAGATTCCCCACACTCAGACATTACTACATCATACACTCACCTGTCAGTGGAGGGCGAGTCCGGCCCTCTGGAGAACTGCAAGATGGAAGTAAAGACATTAACCATTTGTATCATCCCCATTGCCCATAAATTAGATGAATGTAAATAACAAAGACATCCACATGGTGTACACCTTGTGTCCTCAATGCACATAACCCCTACCTAGTATATGTATACCCCGCACCCATACAATGTACACAACCTCAGCACATTCTGTATACCCCCACCCACAATATACAGAACCCCATTTACTATATGTACACCCCCACAATGTACACAGCCCCAACACGTGTATACCTGGTGTACCTAATGTATACAACTTCACCTACTATATTTGTACCTCCAGTCAAACACTGTACAAAACCCCAACACACTGTCTATACATGGTGCACACAAAGTACATAACCCTATCAACTATACTGTATGTATATCCTCTCCTATACAATGTACACAACTTCAAACACCATGGGGTTGACTTACTAAAACTGGCGAGTACAAAATGTGGTGCAGCTCTGCATAAAAAGCAATCAGCTTCCAGGTTTTATTGTCAAAGCTTAAATGAAAAAAGCCGATTTTAGAAGCTGAATGTACATTACCCAATCTACTATATGTATACCCTCGAGCATATAATGTACAAAACCCCAAACACCATGTGTATACCCCAATGCCCCAAGTATACCTGCTCTACTCAGTGTACATAACCTCACCCACACAATGTACACGGTGTATACCTGGTGTACTCAACATCCATACCCCACTTGCTATATGTATACCCCCACCTACACAATGTACACAACCCCAGACACCATGGGTATTCCCCCACCCACATGTACACAAATCCAGCACACCTTGTCCAAACAATGTACACATCTCCACCTTCTATAAGTATCGGTTAACAAAAGCATATAAATTTGGTGGGATCTGGAGGCTAATATAATATCTAAGGGGTAACTAAATAGTGCCAATTCCTCACCTTAAATCCCCCCTGTTATGGGATACTGTATAATCATACTACTTTTATATTTGTCACATCTCAGCTACTGGTAAACATTGATGGTACACATCCCATCATGAAACCTACAAGCTAAAGGGTTAGTTCACGTTTTTGAAAAAAATTAAAAAAGAGAACACACTACACCCCCCCCCCCCCCTTCCCCCCAGTCACCGCTGTACTTACCCCCATGGGTGAGAAAATGTCAGTAGCGCCCACGCACCCAGTGCAGTGGTCTCGAGATTTGAAATCCTCACTCTTCTTCTTTCAGCAGGGCTTCTGGGACCATCAGAGCACTTGTGATTGGTCAGTGCCGGCACAGGGCATTGCTCTAATCCATCCCAGTATCCCACCAGACAGAAGAGGGAGAAGAGCGGGAACTTCAAATCCCAGCACTGCTCTGGCTACGTGGGCACTGACAGCTCATCAACCACAGAGCACAGCATGGCATGGGAAGGAGTGGGGTGTGCAAGATTTAGGATGTTAGTTCTCCTTTTCATTTTTTTCTGAAAACATGAACTTGCACTTTAAGCAAAAAAAAAAAGGCCTAAAAACAACACATGATAGTTGGTACCTCATTCGGTAAACTTCTGGCTTCCCGTTTCTGTTGGATGTCAGTCATATTTGGTATAGAATCTGTTGGCTGGTTCAGTTCTAGCTCTTTAGACATCCCAACAAAGCTCAACAGTGGCGGTTCCCAGCCGTTCCTGAAACGCGGGATGTACGGGGGAATAAACTGATCTTTAGGCCACTCCATTCTGTGGAAAGTAATCAGAAAGTGAGGTGGATGCCAGTGTACACTAAAATCATTTTGTGTGTAAAAATAGGCAGAAAGCTAAAAACACATATACTTGGTGACATCAAGACATCAATTTTCACTCACTTTGCTGAACCAGACAAACATCCACCCAATCATCCAAAACTCTGCAGACTTCAGAGAGAAGTATGGGAATAGTTTTTTTTCCCCAAATTATACTTACCTTACCTTGCTGCATCTGTCCCTTGCCAGCTCTAAGAGTGAGAACTCTGCAATCACATGACAGCTGATCTCTCAGTCACCGCTGTCTGCTCTGACCCCCACCTCCCACCCCCAAAATAGCTTTGGCTGTACTTCTTTAAATATGCCCAACAATTATACATATTTTCCACACTACCAGGTAGCAGTAAATCTACATATTTAGTAATCATAGCAGTGCTGTCAGCAATTACCTCACCTGGGAATCCAGCACTCTTGGTGCTTTATGATGACAAAGGACATCACAAGTTATAGAATAAGATGAGAGGGGAGCTTTCTTCATAACAAGATAGTGTAGATATTTTTTAGTTACAGAAAAAAATTGACCTCATTGATACAGTGCCTTGAAAAAGTATTCATACCCCTTGCAATTTTCCACATTTTGGCATGTTACAACCAAAACTGTAAATGTATTTTATTGGGATTTTATGCGATAGACCAACACAAAGTGGCAAATACTTGTGAAGTAGAAGGAAAATGATAAATGGTTTTCAAAATTTTTTAGAAATACATACAGTTAGGTCCATATATATTTGGACACAGGCACAATTTTAATTGTTTTCAGGTATTTACCAAAACATAATCAAGAGATAGTTATATAATGCATATGGGCTGAAAGTGCACACTCTCAGGTATAATTTGAGTATATGTACATCCAAATTGGAGGAAGGGTTTAGGAATTACAGCTCTTAAGAGTAGCCATCAAAAGTAATTGGACAATTGAATATGATCATAAATAAAATGGTAATTTTTAATATTTTGTTGAGAATCCTTTACTGACAATGACTGCCTGAAGTCTGGAACCCATGGACATTACCAAAGACTGGGTTTCCTCCTTTCTGATGCTTTGCCAGGCTCTAACTGCAGTGGTCTTTGGTTGTTCTTTGTTTGTGGCCCTTTCTGCCTTTAGTTTTGCCTTCAGCAAGTGAAATGCATGCTCAATTGGGTTGAGATCAGGTGATTGACTCGGCCATTGCAGAATATACCACTTCTTTTCCTTCAAAAGCTCCTGGGTTGCTTTTGCAGTGTGTTATGGATCATTGTCCATCTGTACTGTGAAGCGCCATCCAATCAACTTTGCTGCATTTGGCTGAATCTGGGCTGACAGTATATCTCTAAACACTGCAGAATTCATCCGGCTGCTTCTGTCTTCTGTTACATCATCAATAAACACCAATGACCCAGTGCCACTGGAAGCCATGCATGCCCATACCATCACACTGCCTCCACCATGTTTTACAGATGACGGTGTGTGTGTGCTTTGGATCATGAGCCGTTCCAAGCTTTCTCCACACTTTTTTCTTCCCATCATTCTGGTACAGATTAATCTTATTTTCATCAGTCCAAAGAATGCTTTTCCAGAACTGGTCTGGCTTTTTTAGATGTTTTTTGGCAAAGTCTAATCTGGCTTTTCTATTCTTCAGGCTTATGAATGGTTTGCACCTTGTGGTGAACCCTCTGTATTTGCTCTTGTGAAGTCTTCTCTTGATTGTAGACTTTGACAATGATACGCCCACCTCCTGGAGAGTGTCCTTCACTTGTCTGGATGTTGTGAATGTGTTTTTCTTTACCATAGAGAGGATCCTGCGATCATCCACCACTGTTGTCTTCCATGGATGTCCATGCCTTTTTATGTTGCTGAGCTCACCAGTGCATTCTTCTTTCCTCGGAATGTACCAAACTGTTGATTTGGCCACTCCTAATGTTGCTGCTATCTCTCTGATGGATTTGTTTTGTTTTTGAAGCCTTACAATGGCCTCTTTCACTTGCATGGACAGCTCCTTTGAACGCACAATGTAGTTTCACAGCAATAGATTCCAAATGCAAATACCACACTTAGAATCAACCCAGACCTTTTACCTGCTTAATTGATGAAGAAATAATGAAGGAGTAGCCCACACCTGGCCATGAAACAGCTTTTGATTCAATTGTCCAGTTAGTTTTGGTCCCTTGAAAAAGGGGGGGTGGCTACTCTTAAGAGCTGTAATTCCTAAACCCTTTCTCCAATTTGGATGTACACATCCTCAAATTAAATCTAAGAGTGTGCACTTTCAGCCCATATCCATTATATAACTATAGCTTGAATATGTTTTGGTAAATATCTGAAAAAATTAAAATTGTGCCTGTGTCCAAATATATATGGACCTAACTGTATGTGAAAAGTGTGGCGTGCATTTGTATTCAGGCCCCTTTACTCTGATACCCCTAACTAAAATCTAGTGGAACCCATTGCCTTCAGAAGTCACCAAATTAGTAAATAGAGTCCACCTGTGTGTATTTTAATCTTAATATAAATTCAGCAGTTCTGTGACATCCTCAGAGGTTTGTTAGAGAACACTAGTGAATAAACAGCATCATGAAGGCCAAGGAACACACCACACAAGTCATGGATAAAGTTGTGGAGAAGTTTAAAGCAGGGTTAAGTTATAAAAAAATATCCCAAGTTTTGAACAGCTCACAGAGCTGGCACAACTGCAAACCTACCCAGGCATGGCCGTCCACCTAAACTGACAGGCAGGGCAAGGAGAGCATTAATCAGAGAAGCAGCCAGGAGGCCCATGGTAACTCTGGAAGAGCTGCAGAGATCCACAGCTCAGGTGGGAGAATCTGTCCACAGGACAACTATTAGTTGTGCACTCCACAAATCTGGCTTTTATGGAAAAGTGGTAAGAAGAAAGACATTGTTGAAAGAAAGTCCTGTTTGCAGTTTGCGAGAAGCCATGTGGGGGACACAGCAAACATGAGGAAGAAGGTGCTCTGGTCAGATGAAAACAAAATTTAACTGTTTGGCTTAAAAGCAAAATGCTATGTGTGGCAGAAAACTAACACTGAACATCACCCTGAACCCATCATCCCCACCGTGAAACATGGTGGTGGCAACATCATGTTGTGGGGATGCTTTTCTTCAGCAGGGACAGTGAAGCTGGTCAGAGTTGATGGGAAGATGGGTGGAGCAAAATACAGAGCAATCTTAGAAGAAAACCTGTTAAAGTCTGCAAAAGACTTGAGACTGGGCAGAGGTTCACCTTCCAGAAGGACAATGACCCTAAACATACAGCCAGAGCTACAATGGAATGGTTTACATCAAAGCATATTCATATGTTAGAATGGCCCAGTCACAGTCCAGACCTAAATCTAATTGAGAATCTGTGGCAAGACTCTAAAATTGCTACTGTGAGACACTCTCCATCCAATCTGATAGAGCTTGAGCTATTTTGCAAAGAATGGGCAAACATTTCACTCTCTTTCACATCTCTGTAAAGCTGGTAGAGATATCCCCAAAAAAAGCTATAAATTGCAGTGAAAGGTGGTTCTACAAAGTATTGACTCAGGGGGGCTGAATACAAATGCACCCCACACTTTTCAGATATTTGTGTGTGGCTCTGAGGAAGAGGCAAGTCCTTGAAACGCATCAGCCTATTGGATGTCTACACTCCCTAATGCGGACTGTTACTCAGTGCGGTGTTGACCCAGCTGTTCTTTTATGACGTGCCTTGACTTTATTGTCATTTGTGAGTACAACACCTATTTTATATCTTATTAAACATTTTTTATGGTAATGCACTAGGCCTGTGTGCCCTCTGTTTGTTCTTTCCTCATTAAGAATGTTGGAAACCTGGTGACAATGCCACGTTTTCCAACATTCTTGCTCCAGTAACAAAGTAAGAGAAAAAAATATTGGGACTTATATAATCTAGATGGAGAGAGGATGGTTTTAGAGCAAATTTGGTTCATACCTTTTGAATGTTCTTTGACCATGAAAAAGAGCATATGATATTGCATTTCAAACAATTATACAGTGAAATATGCCTTTATTCTGTACAATTTAATTTTTTTTTTTTTTTTTGCCTTCATGGTTTGTGTCCAAAGACAAACACAAGAGAATACCAATGAGGTGGGAACATCTGTGAAGCTGATAATTAATGGATCTTTAGTTAAGGATAGTGCTGTTCCCTGAAAGCTCTCAAGTAATCTCTGCCTACACCAGAACCTCCTGGAGCTCTAGAGTAATAACGGTCTACATCAAAACCCCTGTCAGGTAATACCTGCCCACATCACAGAGGAGACCCAGAATTACCTGGACTTTGTCCAAGTTTCACCAAGTGAAAACCACAGCTTCTTCTCCTCCTCATTTAGGATAAAACTAAGAAAATCAATGGCATCCTTTATTAGGAGAGGGCTGAGAACGGTTCTTGCAAGCTCTGGGCCACCTGTTGCCTCCACCATCTGCAAAATAATATACACAGTACACATTAAATACCTGCAACAAACTACAAGGAGCCCCCAATTAAGACATTGGTCACGCCCCAGGTGCCCGTTAACCAGATACTTTCAGATGATAAAAATAAACTCTTACCATACTTAATGGAGTAAAGAGGAAGTGAACCAGCTCAGCAGCACTGGGGTTCTGTATATGGGACTTAAGCTTTGCCTATAAAACACAATTCATTTTTTAGCAGCAGCACAGCTAGCGGCACTCCAATACTTCCTGCAGCAGGACAGAAGGTGACGGACAGGGCAAATGAATAATTCAGTAAGGTTTTATCTGCCTGAAGGAAAGTATAGGAAACATTTGGTGAAATTAGTTCACAGAAGCATCTGGTTTCTAGAAAATCAATGAATGGACTGGCTTGTAGACATGTGGACCCTGTTGACACACTACGCTGTGTACACCACTAAACTCGCTAGATAGCCTACCAGTGTATGAAAAGTGACATACAGAAATTACCTAGGGTCCCATAGGCCAGTATAGCCACTGATTCACTGAAGTGCAAGCCCCCCAACCCCCCTCCCCTCAAATTTAATTCTAGGACAGCAAGATGATTAAAGTGGTTTTAAAGCCTTAAGCAATTTTACCTTAATATATCTGTATTAGGATAAAAAACCTTCTTTGTCTAGGATCCTCCCCAGCCTCCCCTTGATCCAGTGACGTGCAAGAGAGGGGGTTGGAGCAAGGGGGGGGACCCAAAAAGAGGAGGTGTGTAAAACCATTACAAAGAGCTGGTAAGTATAACATGTTTGTTATTTATTTTGCCCTGAACCTTTAATATCACTTTAAATATCCTGTAGTTTATCTTTGTTTTAAATGGAGGTTATTAAAAAGATGAGAGTTATAAATTATCAGAAATAAAGGGGACCTACCTCCAGGCTTTGCCTTTTCATTAAAAATCAGAATCGGCTGTTCTATATCCCAGTCAGTCAGTGATTGGTTAATTGAAATTCCATCTCCTTCTTTAATGGATACCTGTAGTCGGTGGCCCCCAAGCTATAGCTCATCCCCATCTAACCCATTACTTTCAGTGTGAACCAATTACAAGCTACAGACTGCAGGGTGTTTGCATCAAACCAAAAAGGGGATGGACTGCTCTTGCATTTCTATGGACACCCAATCCATGACTGGTCAGGATGGGTACAGCTGCTTCTAGACTGGAGGTCTGATTGTTCTCAAGAAAAAAAGAGGCTCCACCAAGCCTTGTCAATCCTTTATGTAATAAAAATGGATCTAAGAATGCTATACGCTACCTGTAGGCATAAGACTGCAGTCACTCAGTCTGCTTGTGTTAAGGTCAAGTAACCAGCTTTCTCGGACATCTGTGCTCATAATCTATGATGACTGTGATCAGTTTGCTCATGTCAATTAATTTATGGGTTAAATACTAATGATCAAAACAAGAAGGATTCCTGGCAGGCACAATAACATAGCATGAGCTCTTCACTTACCAGGAGGTTGAAGCCATGTTTGAACTTTTGTAAACAATCAGTGAATTCTTCCTGAGGAGGGGGTTTGGCACGTAACGTTAGGACACCCTCTACATGAAAAAAAAAAAGAAAAGACTCACTACAAATTACCAAAAAGGCAACAAAAATCTCATACAAGTCGTTCCCATCTTTACCTTTCAGCCTCTCCTTTCAACTCATACCTTCCTGTGCCCTCTTTCCCAATACCTACACCTTCCTGATATCCCTGCTTTCCCACCACCCATGCTCACCCTTGCTTCCTCACCTTCTCACTATCCATATCTCTCTACCCACCCTCCATCCCACCCATACCTACCTGCTCCCCCTTCTTCCCAACACCCATATCTCTCCGCCCACCCAATCCCCCACACCACACTTACCTCTCTGCCTCCCGCTCCTTCCTACAACCCATACCTCCCATTTCCCCCCAACCATACATTCCTGCTCCTTCTCACCACCTATACCTCTCTGCCCCCTCCTACGCACCCATTCCTCTTTGGTCCCCTTCTCACCACCAATACGTCCTTGCTTCTTCTAATCACTTATATCTCCAATCCCTTTGCCTTGCCACTCATACCTCTTTGTCTGCTCCCCCTGCTTTCCTTTTCTTCTCATGCATACCTCCAGGTTTCATTGACCTATCTGTACATCGTAGCCCCCTCTCTTCCTACTATCAATACCTTTTGGCAACCTTATCCATTATTTTCAGTATCTACATTTCCTCAATCTTTCCATCCATACCAACCAGTCCCTACCCCTGTTCCCAAGTACCTCCTGGTCCCTTCTTCTTCTTTGACTTTCTCCTTTTGGACAGCTCAGAAAAGGCCTCAGCTGCCTTTTGTAGTTTCATTATGAAAAATTCTATGTCATCCAGGATGTGATTTAGGATTTGCTAAACGAGAATAAATACAATTAAATAATAATGCATTATAAAAAAAAAAAGTAGCACATACACAGTGTGCGTGTGTATGTATTATATATACATATATACACACACACACATATATATATATATATATATATTTTATATACACATATATATATATATATATATATATATACACACACATACATATACACACACACACACACACACACACACACATACATATATATTTGGTGTATACATAGAAAACACTACTGAAGACATCACAGGTATTGTTGTATACACTGAATCACAAAAGAACTTGACGAAGTAGCATACAGAAACTAAAACATGTTGACTACCAGCAGATTCCATCACACATTGCAGTCCACGGTAGGTAAAATGGTAACTGATCTCAACACGTATAAAACTCCACAGTCAGTGGAATAGTAAAGCACCAACAGATCCCCATGTTCATGGGAAGCCACTGTAAGTGAAATAGTGGATCACCAACAGATCTAAACACACACAGGATTCTATTTTAAGTGAACATAGTAGATGATCAACAGATCCTAACACACACAGAACACCTGCTAAGTGAATCAGTAGATTCCCAAGACACATAGGACTCCATGGTGAGTGAAATAGTAGCTCACCAACAAATCCCAACATTTAAAGGGCTCAATTGCAAGTTAAAATAGTTGATTGTCAACTGATCTCAGCATACGTAGGACTCCACGGAAAGTGAAATAATAGATTATCAACAGATTCTAAAACTCATAGGACTCCACTGTAAGTGAAATAGTAGACCTCCAACAGATCCCAACACACACAGGACTCCTCTGAGTGAAACAGTGGTTTAACAACAGATCCCAATACACATCAGACTCAAACGTAAGTGAAATAGTAGTTAATCAATAAGACCCCAACACACATACTGTAGGACGCCAATGTAAGTAAAACCGTAAGTCACCAACAGATCCCAACACTCACAGTACTCTATGGTAAATGAAATGGGATCTGTTGGAGATCTACTAATACACATAAGATTCCACTAAGTGAAATAGTAGATCACAAACAGATATCAAGACACATAAGATTCCATGGTAAATAAATGAAGGGATTCTCACTCACCACATCTCTGTCAATTCTTGCTTCAATCATCTGTGGTGTCTCGTCCTGATCTGGACTGGATCGCCGATCATCTGTAGCAAATAACACAGTGAAAGTAGTCAGACAGGAATTACATACCAATTCTACATGTGACTTGCGACAGTAGAGAAAAGATCTGCATTTTTTACTGGGGACACCCTAAATATTACAACTCTACAACGTAGTGGGAATGGTTGCAACTGATTCACATATCAGCCTTAGTGATCAATGGGGCTTCCAAACTTTATATACAGCAATCTATAGGTAATATTGAAGGGAATGCATTTTATTATTTTTTTGCAATTGAATGAAAACATATTTTTATTTCCATCCAGAAGGAGGCATACTACACTACTTTTAGAAGTATATCTGTCTAGTTTTAACTGCTTTATTGAAAATGGCTTGTTTACAGAGTTGGAAAATAAAGCTATCAGTTCAAAAACAAACATTTAAAACATCACAAATAAAATTGACCCCAAACCATTATAGTCTCCCATATTTTATGGTGAACGGTGTTTTTTATTTTTACAAAGGATTCTGATGGACAAGAGCCATGTAGCCAACTGGTGCCAAAGTATCTGAGTGACGGTAATGCAAAGCTCTTTTATAGACAATTACAGGTACACCATATTTTTCTCTTACTTACAGTCTCCATACTCAGCTGCCCATGTAGACCAGGCTGCCACACGACTGCGTACGTCCACCTGGGTGACTGATCCTGGAGGCATTGGAGCTGGCGCTTGGGGAGGTGGGGGGACTTTGCTGTCACTTGCTGCAATGTTCCTAAAATGAAAGAAAAAAAGGCAGATGAATATAGAATGCCTAAACAAACTAATTGTAGACTAGTTGATGGGAAAACGTGTGCCACTCCTGGCTCTGAAGCCATCACCGAGAGCCTCTATCAGGGAGCACCTTCACCAACGAACACCTCCACCAACTTTTATACTTAACGGCTTAAATTAACCTAAAAGGTCAAATCACAACATTTCACAACACCAAGCCTGCCATTCTGAAAGCAAAATATTACTCAAAAATAGCCAAGTCCTCAGAAAATCCTCCAGTGGATGCAATCATCATAAAAAGTGTGTGTGTATGTTTTCTTTTTTGATGAATCTAACAACCTCTGGGTATGCCAAATTTCAGGAACCCAATACAGCTGCTGAACAATTGAGACTCTAAGGACCCGGATACCAAAAAATTAGGACTCTCGGAGTGGGATAGGGTTATAAAAAAGTAGGTGCCTTGGGGGGTGTCCTCGAAAACCTTTGCCAGCGTCCAATCACCTGAAGGGTTATAGCAACCTGTGTCCCTTACTGTATGATTAAGATTTTTTGGGAAACTTTCAAAAGTCATGCTTTCAGTTCAGTTGAAGTAATTACCTAATATCTGTTCTATATGGAGTTGTCCCATGCCAAGAAAATTTAAATCAGGCTTCCACTGGCAGTGGCTGGTCTGTCACTGGCAATTAAAAGTAGACAAGGGGTGGAGCAGTGGCACAAAACCTACAGAATATGGTCACCTTCCTTATGCAGCCATAAAGGAGTGGGGAGTTCACAAGAGCAGCAGATTAAGCAATTCCTATGTGTAAGGGTTTTAGCTGAGGATTCAGCCCTTTAGGCATTGCCCCCTATTCTCCATAGAAGAAGAGGTTGATATTTGGCTGCCGGTACCAGAAAAAAAAGCAAGGTATGTAGAATGTGAGGAAAAGTGGCAGGGTCTCATTTCTCAATACAAATTATATCTGGCTGCAAAATATCAGCCACAGCAGGCTTCTGCCCAAGGCCCACAGAAGGTGTTGCCATTACAACATGTCCAATACAGTAGTGCAAAGTACAAATTCTGCTGCCAGTGTGGCTGTAAGACTACAGTGTGTACAGAATAAGGCAAGCCATAGATAAATCGATTTTTTTTCCTTCCACCATGTGTGAAAGGAAAGAAAATCACTTGATTCTCCCATCTACACAATCAGCATTGAGTTTATGGGGAATGCCTCCCACAGTGCTATTGTATTCTGCAGGGGGGGGGGGGGGGTGCGGGGAATCTTCTCTGCCAGGACACAATTATCGGGCAGTAATCATGTAATTAAAATCTGTCAGGCTGCTTGTGCGCAAGTTGATTGATGGATTGACTTGGGTACAGTCAGCCCGCCCAGAGAAAGATCGAATCGCGGCTAGTCCCTGCTGACCTGGCTGAGATGCGGTCCATCTATGGCCAGCTCAACCAGTAGAAAAAAAAAAAATACATGCATTAGCTTCCAGGTATCAAGTTTAGGCTCATATTGTTCTAATTACCTTAGTACATCTGGCCGTGTCCTTGGTCTCCCTCCTTTGCTATCACTCAGTGCACTGTCAATATCTTGTTGGATATAAGAAGCCTACAAGATTGAAATGTCACAATCAGACATGGTGTTGTACAAAAGGAGTGAATGAGATGTCATAGCTAAGTAAAAGACAATATGGAAGTAGGCGAGACATGCAGCACTGCACAATGGAAACCAATAAAATGCAATCTCATGCATGCCACAATGTGGAAAAGCTGCAGTTCTATTATAATTTACAGCCTCTATTCTACAGGAAGCAGCAGGAAGGTCATTGGATGGAAATCGGAACAAAATAAAATAATTTGTCGTTCCAAGGTTCAGCTGGGTCTGTTCACACAGGTAGTCCAAGAATTACAACCATACTAAGTGATGATTATCATCTTCTATAATGGGTGCTGTGTTGGTCTCCTACTTGTTTGTCATTTTAGCAAGTTTCAGTAGTCCAGTCATCTCCGTTCGCTCCATTGTTTCTGTGATCTAGTTCAGGATGGCAAGTTGCTTGGCACTGGGCTCTCCCATTTGTCAGTCACTGACCTTACTGAAATACTAAGTATAAGAAGGGAGATCTAGCCACACCTATATATCTACTTTGGTTGAAATAGACAAGGGCCCATCAAGGCCAAGCAAAAAAAGGCAAAATGACAAAAATAAAACAATTTTATCCCAACAAGGAAAATATTCCTTCCTAAGCGATTTCAAGATAAAGCTCTGAATTCTTGCATATAGGTATATGAACAAGTAACTCTTAAAGCGACCAAGTCAGATAAGCAAATCTGCCAAGAAACGCAGTGCCTGTAAAGAAGAAAAGGAATCAGGTAGCGATATGGAGCAGCAGAAGAAACCATTGAGCATCATTAGTGACATGATACTCAATGGTTAAATCAATCCTCTTCAACAGAGCATCATTTGGTGGCACAGGCAGCAGAGACAGTATGTGCCTTCTTCTCTACAGGCAGAGGGTTTCTCATCAGTTTTAAATTATGTGACGAGGTTGCTTTAAAGACTTATTAGAGTAAAACAGTGTATTCAAAAAGAAAAACAAAAATGTGTAAAAGGTGTTTGGTGTAATTTGCTTGCTCAAGAGTCCATCTAAAATAATATGCCCATCCAAGACTAACTTGTTCAGAGGGTGACAAAACTATGGTTTGATTTCACTGCAGAACAAACAGTGTTGTCACCCTGTACAAGGAGTGGAAAATCAATGGATCTGCTTGCTGGATTAATAGAAAATACAACTAAGCTACAAGGGGGATTCAGAAAAACAAAAACTGCTGTGTTAATGCTACTATCAGACTGCATCATTTATGCTATTTACATTTTTGCCAAGTGTTTTACTTTACTTTGAGGACTATATCTGGCCCCCTTATGTAGCAATCCAACAATTCTTCTGGAAGGGGTTCATGTAGGATGCCATTCCAAAGAAGGCATGAAAACTGACTCAACATCCCACCAACAATAATTCTCAAAGTACAAATTTTTTTTTTCTATTCACTATATGTATAATAACACTAAGACCTTGTTCACACCATGTGCAGAGATGGGAGTTTTACTGTACTTGTTTCTGCAAGGGCACAAAGAAAACAATTGTCCTCTATGTGCCCTGCTCACACCATAACACTCATATCATGTGTTTATTTTTTTTCTGCGTAGAAATCTACAACATATACCGTATACAGTCTTCTGCACATAAAATAACTCACATGACATCAACATTGTAGTGGGAATAGGACATTTAGAGAACAATTGTTTTCTTTGTGCCCCCACAGAGAATTTATGTTGCATATTTATGTACAGGTAAAATACTTGCATGACAGCAGTGATATGGTGTGAACACAGCACATAGAAAACTATTGTCTTCTTTGTGTCCTTGCAGAGACCTAAGTCAGAAATACGGTGTGAACAAGCCAAAAATATTCTATGAAGCCAAATCTGTGTGCTTTTTCTATCATTCTGTATGCACTTATGGTGTGAACAAGGCCTAAAGGGCGTATTTACATGTTGTAAATACAAAATTCACCAAAATGTTCATTGCAGGTGAATCAATTATGGTAATTTAAAAACGTGTAGGAAGATGCACCTGAAATGTATTCATGTACCCCTAAAATGATCTTTTAGACATAAAACATGGCAACGTATTTTTCTAATGAAGTAAAGTGTGCATAGAAATGCTAAAAATGAATAAATGAGCAATCCAAAAAATAGCTAAAAGGACAGAAGAGGAGGATTTAATTAGGATTAGAAATTGTGCCTTTTTTCCCTCCATTTTTTACACCAATTCTTAAGTGCTAATCATTGGCTTAAAAAATAACTAAGGACCCTTCAAACCTACATGTATACAAGCTAAGGACCTATACAAAAAAAAAAAAAGAAGATTCTTTGATTTTATATCATGATTTGTATTTGAACAAATGTTAATGAAATCAGATTTATTTAGGTAAAAACACACATCAACATTTTCATTGCACACAAGCAATAGATTTTCCAAATGTTTACCTAAATCTAAAAGATGTGACAATGAGGTGTTCTCTGCCTCCACATTGGGACAGTGTTTAAGTGAAGGATGTTGTTGGGCAATCTCAGGTGTTCAGGTTGACACAGCGCAAATTAAATCAGGAAATGGGAAGTAATGAGTTCCCACCCAACTGTCCTCCTGAATTCCCCTGTAGTCCCAGGTGAGGCACCAGGGTGGGAGGGTTGAGGCATTTTGGCTGATGTAGAAGTGATTGGGAACCATGAGTTTGTTTAGCATACAGTATACTAAAAATGTAACAAAGGGATATATAGAAAGCACTGTTTCACTCACCAATACAAGTCTTACACATATATAATGGATCGCCCAGCTACATATATCAGACATGGCTAAAACACTGACCGTGTATGTCCAGACTCTTCAAATTACATTTTTTGGGTGCATCTGGTAGACCTCAGGTCTTCAGCAGATTTATGTAAAGAAAAAGCCTCACCGAAGACATATTTATAGTACTGTCCTTTCTTGTTTTGGTAACTTAATAATAGGAAATAAACTTCATCCAGCAAAAAAGGTCAAGTGTATGTACAAAAAAAACTTTTTGTGTTTTGGATGGATTAGGTAAGTATTAGATCCCCTGTTGAGTATTTACTGCTATACAAGATTTCTCCTCACTTCCTGTCATGCTGAAAGCACTTTTAACAGACAGGAAGTGTGGAAAAATCTGCAACAGGAACATAAATAAAAAACAAAAAAAAAATCTGACAAAGGTTCTACCTTCCCTTACTCCATTAGGAAAAAAAACAGCATTTTTCCTCAGGCTGTGCTATTGTTGTAGAGTTCCCCGATTTCCTGTCTGCTAAAGTGCACGTTTGATATACACTTTTAGGGTCCATTCACACCAGTCTGATCAGTTGCACTGCATCAAATGTGCGTTTTGTCATGCATAGTTCATTTGAATAGGCTTTTTCCAGCTAGTGAAAGAATCTTTCAATATATAACCTCCATTGGAGAAACAAGGGGAAGCAAACTGCGGTTGTCGAAATAAAAATATGTGATAAATGTGCAAATAAAGTATTGCGCTAAGCAAATACAGTAAGTGAAAATCAAATTATAACTGTGCCATGGAAGATGTCAATCGTGACGAACTGTGTAGGGTGCAGATGCGTGCTGATGGTAGTGAGTAACCCGGAAGTGACGGTAGTCTTTGTGTATGCTGGCTGGAAGGTCCTTCAGTTATCACTGTGCAATTGTTTTTATTCACATGAGTGATATTTGAACCCTAAATAAAAGTTTTAAAAGGATTCTATGCTATGCAATCTCTCCTATTTTTCTCTGAGTACTGGTAGTAAGGAGAGGTGAGAAGGATACACGGGACACTCAGTATAGAAGACTCTGAACACCTCCAATGGAAGTGTTGCGGTCCGGATGACTACTATATGAGCCATTATTGACTGCTCTTTAGTTAGAGGGTCCACTGCTGTTGGTAAGCTTTCATCAGTACTTTCAAGGTGGTGGTTCCCCTAGCAGGTGGAGGTGGTAGAGCCTGGTGCACTCACTTTTGTCTCAGATTTAAGGTGGATGTTTTCACAAGTGGACTTTTCATTTACAAACCCATATAAAACACTTTATAGCAGGGGTGGGCAACTGTGGCCCTCCAGCTGTTGTAGAACTACAAGTCCCATGAGGCATTGCAAAACTGACAGTTACAAGCATGACTCCCAAAGGCAGAGGCATGATGGGACAGTTGCCCACCCCTGCTTTATAGCATTGTTTTTACTTTTTATTTTCACGTATGTATCTGTTATAATCTGATTTTCACTTACTGTATTTGCACCTATGGCCTTCATTGTCTACTCTTGGCCAGGGTCACAGAGGTGAAGGATGAGAATCTGTTCAGTGGACAGTGAGTGGGAGGAAAGGGGGTTGGGATTTCTGCAGCAGGTTAAGGAGGAGAACATGCACCGGGGACAATGAGGTGAATTTGCGCACTTTGTGGTGGTGCGGGAGGGGGGGTGAGGGTGAAATTCATGCATTGGGAAAAGATGGGTAGAACATGCACTGGGTGGAGGAAGCTGAATTCGTGCACTGGGGTAGGCAGAAAATCCATACAGAAGTGCAGCATACAGGTTGCACACCATTCCACGCTGAGCAAACCACCGCAAGTACACCAAGTGATGGGGATAACACAATGGCAAACTACCACAAAGACCTTACCTTGACCTCATCACACTGGAAGAGGTGTAGATCAGCTTTGCTCTGTGTTGGCTCTTTACAAATAAGGGCCAGAATGGAATCGTATCTACAGGCCTTCATCACAGCCTTACAGTGCTGAATGGTGCTTGCAGGAAAGTTCTCTAATTCAGTCTGTGCAAAAATGAAATATCACATATTGTGCACATCATCTGCCATGCCAACTGCTACAAATCAAACAGAACCACCAATACGCCAAGTGTTCCACCAACTGCCATGTCAACCACTATGCCATGTACACCACTACATCAACTGCCAGGTCCACCACTTTACCCACATCAAATGCTATGTCCACTGCTAGATCTACAACTACATCTGCAACATTCATGAACACGTTCATCACTATATCAACTGCCACATCTGTCCCTATGCTCATTAACATATTAGCTGCCACACTGCGAACTGCAACTTTGTCAAATACTACATCAACAACCATGTGCAGCACTATGCCTTCTGCTACATTATCTACAATGCCAACTGCTACATAAAATGACAGGTCCACTACTTTGCCCAACGCTACATCAATTGCTACTAAAACAGCTATGCACACTATGAGAGAGAAGAATGCTGGGAACAAATGGCCCAGGCAAAGATTATCCCTCCATTATGTTACACAGGAAACATGCAGTAACTGACTGCATCATATAAAGAAAATTTCAGAAAGGGAAGTGAGGGAATGGACCAATGGCAGCAAGGAGTGTGCAGTTGACTGATCTCCAGTATGAAAAGTCTCCCCAGCATGAAAGTCTCCCTGGGTTTTGTTATATAATGTTACAAGATATCTCTTATGAGACAGCTTGTATTTCCACACATGACCTGGCATGGAAGAGGATTCAGAGTGCCAGTCCCTCATCTCACCCTTTCCTAAAGAATGCCAATCATGTCTGAAATAAGACAATGTCAAAAGAGCGAAGAACCCCCAGTGTTTGAACGAGGGACTTTAAGGGCAACAGGAAAAGTACTGAGGTAAAATATAACAAAGCTTTAGTTTAGTACAATAAAATGTCACACATTTCTCAGTTCCATGCGTATCTTTAAGACATTGTCAAGGACACCGTCGGGAAAAATAATTTTAGGCTGGAAACAAACAAAAACTATTTGCTAAGCAGTACAAATTGTGACAAATGTCCCTAGAGAAGCCAAAAGTTCTATACAGTATATGTGGCCTATGTTGGGCAGCAGTTCTCCCAGGAAACAAGGGCGCCATAAAATTACTGACAACCATTCCTTACCCAAACAAATGTTATTAAACAAGTGCCCTCCAAGCAGGTGACCCACAATGTGTTAACATCTTAGCAGCTGGGCTACCCAAACCCTTGAGAACAATATTAACAGACGTAATCTTGAGCTCAAACTACAACACCTACCAGCAAGGTACTTTCTACAGCATACTGTAGCCAACCCATCATCAACCCAGCCATAAAATGACACAGATAACGTGACTCACCGTTCTAACGAAAAAAAAAAAAAAAAAAAAAACATACAAGATGGCAAAACAGGAGGATTACCTTTGATTCTATATCGGACAAACTAACACCTTTGTCATCAACTTGCAGATACATATCTTGGGTCCACACTTTCCCTTTGGCATCAAGTAACTTTAGCTTCCGGATCCCATCTTCCACTGTTAGCATGGCGTCTTTCCGATCAATGGTGAAGGTGGTGAGGTGCTGCAGGACATTGTCAGCATTGTCACAACAGGTGACCGAGGTAGTGTACCCCAGGACAAGGACTAATGTAATATGGAAGGGAATCTGGGGGAATTCTGTGACACTTTACTAGAAGGCTTCTAAACCTTCTACTGCAAGTAAAGTTAACACAATTCTGAGAAGTCATCCCAAACAATCCAGCAAATCAATGTCTTGTGCCTGTAGACATTCTACCATGTGATCAGCGGATGGCATCAGCCATGTATATAGCAACACACACACAGAAGTTAGCATTAAACATTAATGTTTTCTCTGCTACCCTTATTACTTCCTGTAAAAACTATGGTTAACATTCAAGAAGTCATAGGACCTGGGTACATGCATATGAACAACAAGTTCTACGACATCATCTTTCACTTTACAGAAATATAGGTGTGGGGACAGCCTTAATTGCCAACAATACATTTACTAATCAGTGACTGGACATGGAAATAACCAATGTGATTTTCCAGGAAAGAGGTTTTGTAGTTACCCCACAAGACTTCATCTGCTTCATAACTTTAACTCTACATCAACTAAAAATATCATCAAAACATACCTCGACATGGTACTGGGTGTTCTCTGATATGATGCTGACAGTGTCCCGGGCATAGCTTTTCCTTTGCTCTGTGAACAAAAACACATTTATGACACAAATCAGAAAATACACCCCCATCACCTATCTACTGTTGATGCACGTCAAATGATTGGGGTTCTTCTCAACATCACTTAAATGCTATTAGTACTGGTTAGAGGTGCATTTTGAGTCCTCCAAGGCAGACCTGATAAAGTAACGGTCTGTAAAACCAACACAGCTTTCATAACACTGTGCCACTCATTAAAGGAAACTTATCAAGCAAACTAGACACAATTAGAGGCAAACCAGGCTGCCTTTTTGTTTAGAAGTGGTCAGGGTAAGGTTTTATTGTTAGAAACATAATTAGAAAGTGGCCAGGGTCAGGTTCTATTCTGACACATAATAAAGAAGTGGTTAGGGTCAGGTTAATTTCTGACACAAAAGTGGTCATGGTCAGGTATCATTCTGTTGGACACAGCAAGTGGTCAGGGTCAGGTTTCATTCTATGGCAAAGCTACACTAGAGAGCTGAGGGAAGAATTCATGATTTGTAACCTTGTAATAAATCTGTCGCACAATGTGTCTCACACTCCAATTTAGCACCGCCTTGCGGTGTGACATAATTGATAAATGTCTCCTATTGTGTAATTCTCACACTAACAAAGTCAATTAAAGTGGTTGTAAACCTCAGACATGAAATATGAACAAAGCATATTCCTCTATAGTGTGTGTCTGTCTCAATCCAGAGCACTAAGTGTCATTTCTGTCCACTGCCTTGTCCCTCTGCTATAAGCATGAGTCACTTCTGATGAGTTTTTCTAACACCCATAAAGAATGGTGACAGGGGAGGGCACAGCCTGTGACTGACAGCCTCAGCTCTGTTCCTGTGTGAAGAGGGATGCATCCCTTTTCTTCCAATCAGCTCTCAGAGCTCTCATCGCCGATATAACTTCAACTCTCCTCCCACTGCTTTTCAGAGCTGAGAGATACTGTGTAAATTCTGTGGGAGGATTTGTTTCATCTCTGTGTATGACCTGAGGCCAGTCACTTCACTGGGTATATGTGAGGGTTTACAACCACTTTAGGGCAGAAGTACTCAAAATGCAGCACATCACATCACATCAGATTGACCAAGACATGCAGCAATCAAACATGCAGAAGGTCACAGATGTGATTTTTCAAACCATACAGAGGTGGTTTTCACCAGCCTAACATTAAGACTCAGAAACACAACATATACCTTTGAAACAACGAGATAGCAGAATGTAATGGTCCTACCACTACTGGAAGAGGGGTAATCACAATTCTTATATTCCATCTTTACATTTTAGCAGGTAAGTGTAGCTAAATATACTGTATAAAGCATACAGTGAAATATCCCTAACAAGGTGTGATAGGCAGGCACACAAACTTGATATGTTTGGAACTTGGAGGAAGATGTGTCCATCTAAATGTTTGATTATGGTTGATGCATTGAAATGTTTTCACTAGGTGAAGAAGAAAACACTAAATACATATCATCAAAAAAAAAAAAAATGTCTGCTGACCATCACAGGGATGCTAGGGATAATGCACAATATAATGCATAAAGCAGCACTGCAGGTTACGCACTGCGAAGTACTGCCTACAGCAAAGTGTATTTGTTGTATAGGTTTGGTTTGCTCATACTTGGTTGATTAGGAGTTATTTGCGACAGGCTGATGTTCATATGATGGAGGAATTTAGGCTTGCTGAACATGCCCAGAAGGCTCACAGGAAGAACTTCACTCTCAGAGCTTTGTGTTTGATTTTTATAGCTTACTGATGAGTATGGATCATTCTACTTCAAAATGTAGTCTGCTACAGATTCCATCAGCTATATCCAATGTACAATTCCTTTCCATATTTGTCACGGGATGGGAAATAGAGTAATATGACACATCTTCCACTGAGAGTCTCTGCAGCTCAGACCAACACAATTCTGGTTAGGCGATGTGAGGGGACATGAATATGTGTAACATACTCCAGCCTGAAACCCCAATCTTTCTGGGTGATAGCCATTAATTGTTAAGGCAGAGCAGCTGCAGGTAATTATGGTGCTGAGCCTATCCCAGAACATCAAATGGCCACAACTATAATCACAACTATAAGTCCTGAGCCTTCAGATGCATGACAAAGAAGAAAGGGCTGACTGGTCTACAGCGAGAATGGGGAACCCCTCAGTGGGCCCTGAGTATAAGGTTTAAAATTAAATAATGTAAAAAGTACCAAGTTGGGGTCCATCTTTTGAAATCACAGACCCCTCCAGGTACTTTTACATCATTATCAGCTGCAGACAGTAGCTGTGATTGTACTCTCAATCCACACTGGTGCTGTGGGTGGCCCCCCCACAGTTAGAAACAACCAGCCTGCTATTTACCAACTGACAGCTCAATAAGCTGTCAGTTACAGATCACGCCATTCTGCACTGCTCCAGAATGGATCTCTCTTTATCTGGCGATACTGCACTACTCTCCATCTCCAGCCTCAGTGGTCTCAAGACAACATAGCAAGAATGGTGGGTGTCTGTTTCGACTCCTGTTCTCTGCCATGCCGCTCTCTAAACCCTCCTTTCACCCACCATGGCCAATGCTTAACCTGTCTAGGATTTTTGGGGAGCAGATCTGCAAGCGTGAAGATTCAAATTGCAGCCAGTTAGGACTGGTGTGCCAGCTTAAAAGGACACTCTGTCTCTTGCTCTCAGGGCCAAGCTCATTTCCAGATTCAGCTGTTAAAATGTCCCTGTCACCACAGGGTCACTTGTAAAAAAAAAGTGTGGGGGCTATAAAAGAATAGCATGTATATTTTTTAACTTTCCAGCACCATCTTCAAAATCACTGCTTTGCTGCTTCACAGCCACTGCAGGTATTTGCAGACTTTGGGGTAGTGAGCACTAGTGGGAGCAGGTTTTCAACGCAGTGATGTTTGAAAAGAAAAGCAAATCGGACCTCAACTCGATATGTCCCTGTTCTAAGGGTCATACTCCACAACAGACAGCATTCCCCATACAAAGAACAAAGCAATCCCACTGCAGACACATGCAAAAACAATACATTAAAGAGATAAAGAAAATACACCCTCTACCCAAACCAAACCCACATATACTCACACTCAGAATAGAAATCACTATGGTCAAAAGAGGTTACCTCCAGTATAGCCCCTCTTTGTCATAATATACAACTATTGTAGAATACCCTCTAGGGTCACTGTATACTCCCAGCATATCCCCTTAGTGTCCCAACATACAGTACATCCATTCTATTATGACCCCCTCTAGTATCACAATATATTTTTACATTCAGAACAATAAAAACACCTTTTTCTTTATATATCACATCCAATGTAATACTATGTCCATCACTGTATGTTCTGTTCAGAGTTAAAATAACCCCCCCCCCCCCCCCCCTTTCCAGAGAATAATGTAACCTCTATAGGTTTCAGGAAAAAAAATGTAAATGAAAAACCAGTCACTGCCATTAACAAACACACGGACACTCTCAGCACACACACTGCACGCAAGGCCAAATCTTCTACCTTTCTTTTTTTGTTTGGATGAAGATCGGAAAAAATAAATTCCATCTCCTCCTATTGAGAAAATCCATAAAATTACATGATAAGATGACAGACAAGACTGCCTGAGACGGTAAAAAAAAGGATAATTTGAGGAAGTGTAGAGGTGGTGAGGGGCTCCATGCTACAGGTGATATGGCTACAGGAAGCCACCCACATCATGTCATGTTATATGGATATAAGAAGCCACCCCCTATCATCTTTTATTATGTGATATGGATATAGGAAGCCACCCCACATCATCTTTCATTATGTGATATGGATATAGGAAGCCACCCCACATCATCTTTCATTATGTGATATGGATATAGGAAGCCACCCCCCATCATCTTTCATTATGTGATATGGATATAGGAAGCCACCCCACATCATTTTTCATTAGGTGATATCGATATAGGAAGCCACCCCACATCATTTTTCATGTTATATGAATATAGGAAGCCACCCCACATCGTCTTTCATGTTATATGGATATAGGAAGCCACCCCACATCATCCTTCATTATGTTATATGGATATACGAAGCCACCCCACATCATTTTTCATTATGTTATATGGATATAGGAAGCCACCCCACATCACCTTTCATGTTATATGGATATAGGAAGCCACCCACATTATCTTTCATTATTTTATATGAATACAGGAAGCCACCCCACATCATTTTTCATGTTATGAATATAGGAAGTCACCCCACATGATCTTTCATGTTATATGGATACAAGAAGCCACCCCACATCATCTCTCATTATGTTATATGGATATAGGAAGCCACCCCACATCATCTTTCATTATGTTATATGGATATAGGAAGCCACCCCACATCATCTTTCATTATGTTATATGGATATAGGCAACCACCCCACATCATCGTTTATGGTATACGGACACAGGAAGTCTCCCCACATCACCTTTCATTGTTATATGGATATCACAATTTATTATGTGACTGCCAGATGTGGGCTGTCTCTGATGTTATGGCTTAACACAGGGTCAACTACCAAGGAAAACATAGGCTGAGCTACACAACTGTGAGAGGAGTCTGAATATCTTTCATAATTTGTTCTATTTGTATAACACAAAGACTGATGGTGAAGGCCAGACTCATCTGAGTGAATAGGGCTCATACTACTCTACACATTTCCAGGCAAGGTTCCCTGCTAGGTGCAGTAGAGGGATGTACTGACAGTCATTGAGCAGAGTGTTTAGACTGTATACCTAATAATGGGATTATACACTACAGGAACGGAATTATAAAGTGAATTAGCAGTTAGAGATTTCTTCACTTTCAAGCCTCTGCTGACCTACATATACCAGGAAGGTTCAGTCATTAGGCCGCCAAAGCAAAACCTTACCATAAAGACTCTTTGCATTTGTTCTTTTCTCTGACTTCACCGATGCCACATCAGAATTACTGTAAGGAAAAGGAAGAATGGGTGACTATAGTCTATAGGACTTGAGCAATGTGACATTGGAGAATTGGATGACAGTCTATAGGGACAGTGTAATGTGG